ATAAGAAATGGTTGCTTACTTTTCGGGCATTGCATTGGACGGTGCTGTTTGGCCCGTGGGGGCCCTCACGGGTCCCGTTTTGATAATTTGAACCGTTCAATGTGTAAAACTCGTCGAGTACTATATGCCTGTAAAAAATCACGTTGATCGGATATCAATAGCTATCTGATTAGATTAATTTTTTTTCAACCGTTAAGTATAACACCATTCATTTTTTTATACAAAACTAATTTGATCATGTAGTTAACGATATCTGATCAATGTGATTTTTTACAGACATGTAGTACTCGACGAGTTCTACACATTGACGGTTCAGATTATCAAAACGGGACCCGTGATGAGCCCCCATAGACCAAACAGCACTGTCCTATGTAAATTTGTTGTGCACCCGTATGTAATTTGTACCGGGACAGGCCCATCACTGTGTCATACATTCATGACTTGTACTTTGTATCAATATAAATTTATTTTTTTTATATTTTTAATTTATCAATAGTGATAATTTTTTATCTTTTTTAAGACATGTCAAACCAACTCTTAAACTGTCTGAACAACACCACACACCCCTAATCCTAGCTCCATGACTAGAAGAAATTCATTGTATGTAGAGCCCGGATTCTCGGCCGCCCTTTCCGGCGGCCGTGCCAGCAGCCCCCCAAAACGACGTCGTTTTGGGGGTTATTTTGAATTTTTTTTTTTTTTTCTCTCTTCTTCCTCGTTGGAAGACCGAACCAGAGGGAGGGGAGGGGAGGGAGAGAGAGGGGGGGAGGGGAGGGGAAGGAGAGAGAGAGGAAGGGAGAAGAAGAGGGAGCACCGGACTGGAGGGGGCCATAATCACTGGGGGAGGAGGAGGAGGAGGCGGAGGCGGGCCGGACGCGGAGGCGACGGCAGATCGGGCAACGATCGGACGGCTGGCGAGCTCGACGACCTGCGACGGCGAGCTCGACGACCTGCGACGGCGAATCCAGACCCCAAAATCCGGCGAGCTCCCCTCCCCTCTGCTCTGCTCTGGTTCTGCGAAAAAAAAAAAAAAAAACGAAAAAACCCCCAAAACGACGTCGTTTTGGGGGGGCTGCTGGGAACTGCCGCCCAAAAGGGCGGCCGAGGATCCAAATTCTTGTATGTATACCAAAAGAAGAAAAATCACATTGAAATAAGTTAAAAGTGCAGATGACATGATGAGTAGAAGTTAAAAGACAATGTACAACCAACATTTATTGCTACCTTTATTGTTTTCATCCAAAATGGAATCAAGCAACCCCTTTCTTAGTGGAAATCACCGCCCCTCCCCCGCCCTTTACAAAGATGGAAAAAGCCTAACGACTAGTATAATAGCGTAAGTCTTCAAGTATGAATGAAAAGTAAATTTAATTTTTAACAAGTGCTACTATTAGCACCTGTTGAAATTCTTTACATCCTTTTAGATCCTTTATTTTATAATTTTTTTTTATTATAATTATACCTTAAAGTAAAATTATATTAAAAGATATTATTAAATGGAACACTCACTTATCAATAAGAACTAATACTCTATAATATTGGACCCTCACCCTCACTCCCACTCCCACCCCCACCTCCAACTCCAACTCCAACTTCGACTATACGTATTCCATGTTTGTAAACCCTAAACCTTCAACATGCTTGGTTAGAGTTTTTCAAAAACTCTTTTCAGAAAATTCTACTTTCTCATTTTCCGTATTTTTTTGTTTTTACTGAATTTTTTAATATTTTAAGTATTTTTTTTTTTACTTTTTAGACATACCCAACATAAATATACCTAAAAAGTAAAAAAATTGTTAAAGAAACCTTTTAAAAATTCACTAAATACCAAAAATATATAATAAAAAAAAACGAGAATTCAATACATTTTTTTATATTTTTATGTATTTATTAATTTTTAAAAATATTTTTTCACAAATTTTTTACTTTTTAGATACATCTAAATAAGGTGCATCTAAAAAAGTAAAAAAAATGTTTAAAATTTTAAAAATATTCACTAAAAACAAAAAAATACGAAAATAAAAAAACTCTGTTTTCAAAAAACTTAATCTAAAAAACTCAAATCAAACACACTGATTACTTTTCATAACCAACTAACATAAACCCTAAATCTATTATTTTTCATAATTATCTTAAATCCTGAATGTGTCATCTTCATCACCATCATCAATGCTATTGAACTTGAAAGTTTTGCTTCAAGTATAACGTATACTTCATCACTTATTTCACTGTGTAGAGCAATGGAGGATGAGAAAAACAATTCTAGTGAGACCGACATTCCATTGATAAGTTTATCTATCTTGTATTAACATTCTCGATCGTTTTCGATCGTTCTTGTTTCGTTCGAGTTGTTCAGTGTTGGTTTGCTAACTATTAGAATTATGTTCAGTAATACAATACTGAACATAATCTTTTCGTTCAATATATAAGTTCCGAACATTAATGCAGATAGTCAGTTATGTAATTTTCTTTGTTAAACTAACTTAGAATGGAAAAGAGTGAATTGGAATGTATTTAAGTTATGTATTTTAAATGGATTTAATTCATGTTATTTTAAATTGTGAATTAGAATGGATTCAAGTTACACAGTGCTGAACAAATTTTGTTCGGACATACAGTACTGACAGGATTATTATTGTTCGACAAAACAGTTCTGAACAAAATATATTTTTTCAGCTACACAGTGGTGAACAAATTGTTTTGGGCTACATTCAGAATTCTGATGGCGATTCAGACGATAATTCTGATGGCGATTCAAACAATGATTCTGTTTTTCCTCATCTTGCAAATGGTTATGCAAATCCCGTAGAAATTGGAGTATTTTCGATCGATCTCAGCGATGACGAAGATACAAAAAGCAACAAAGAAGATGATGATGAGAGGATGAGAGAGGTTACTGATTTGGCAATACAAAAAGCATTCAGAGAAGATGAGAGTTGTCAGAATGCTCCGTTGACAACCGAGACGACGACGAGAGTGATGGATGGTTAGGGTCCAAGAATTCTATACTAGACCAAAGCTCCAAACTCTGAAGATTGAGTTAGGAAAGGAGGAGGGATGAAAAATTAGGTAGGTGTGCATTTCATTGTGAAAATATTATGAATATAGATAAATTTGGTAATAAGTGTGGTGTCCAAAAAAATATTATTAAAATTTAGAGTTTAGGGTTGGGGTCCAAAGAAATGTGGGGTCTAAAAAATTTTAGTAGGTGCTAATAGCAACACTTTTTAACAGAAAGAGTCATACATATGATGAACCCCGCATGGGAAACACGCCATTTGTCTCACATTTATATTTCATTATTTAAAAATCTTTTACAATCGTCAATGAAGCCTCAAATAGCATTAGGGCACCCTTTTAAGGCAACATATAACATTCAGGTGCTTTCATCCTGTTAGACCGGTTGTCCACCAGGCTGTAGGTTTACTACCAACAACTTCCCTCAAATTCACAATCGACAAAATCCACAAAAACTTCAACACACTTTGAACCTTTTCAACACCATCAAATACAGTTCCAATCACCAAAAAGAAATATAAGTTGAATGAATGTTGTTTTTGTTCATTATCATAACTAAATTAAACTGTTCCAAAAGAGATGGTACTGTACACATCACTTGCCAACACCAAAAAACTCAGTTAAGACACTTCAAAATCCTCTAGGCTGGCATACATACTCTTATAGTTCAAATGAAACCAATTAATAGTAAACGAATAAGAAATTATAATATTATAATAATAAAAATATCAACAACAATATCATAAAAGATTAGCAAGGTCAGGTAGTTGTGTTGTTTAGCAAGGTCCCTTAGCAATGTTAGCATCATTAGCACTATAATTGAGATGATTTATCTGGTTGTCTATTCTCTTCCTTCAGTCCTCTCTTCTTGTGTCTTTTATACTTCATCTTGCTAGGTAAATCAGATTACTACAGTATTAGACACAACATTCTCTCATACTAATATTTTATTAAAGAGAAAAGTAACGGTTTAATCAGAATATAACGATCAGTCCATGACAATGCATGCAGGACAGAACAGCACATAGCTATTGGCATTAAGCTAGCACCAGACAAAAAGGATGCATCAATTAATAATAACTCCTATAAGAGTAGAAGTCTTTGTTAAACTACCAACTGTCCCAAACCTCAAAAGTTTATAGCAAATAAGCACAACAATGTATATCAAACTATCTAACACCCACCCTCATGTACAGCCTTGCCTCGCACACACAAATTGAATTGAACTGAACAGGGTGCACAAACACACATAGTCGACAATAAACATTAACAGGGAAACAAACACATTCTTGTAGACAAAACAACAAATACGAAAAGAAACAACCAATGGTTTCAAGAGCTTAAACCCCAATTAGTGACGCCCTAGTTTAATGCTTTCTGTTTTTGTTTGCGACAATCTTGAAAACCAAATGTAAAAACATTTGGTAATTGTTTTTGTTACCAAAAAATGACAATAGTTGGCAAAATTCACAAAATTTGAGGAAACCAGCAAAAAAAGTTGTTTTCAAAGTAAGTTCTCATTCCCACATCACTCCTCCACACCCTCAGCCAACCACGTTCCAGCCACTCCACCCCTTCCCTCCCACCTTTAATCCCTTCCCTCTGGCCACTCGGTCCCTTCAGCAACTCACCAAACATTTTTCTTATTTTTTTCTTTATATGTTTTGAAAAAGTGCGTGTACGAAAAATGTTCTCATTTTTGCCAAAAAATTTAAAAACAAAAACATGTTTCTAACAGAAAATTGGCACTGTGAACAAACAGCACCTTAGTTGGTAGGAAATTGACCCAACAATATATATCAAGCCATCCAACCATCTTCACATAAGCCTAGTTTAACTAAAAGCAATATTCACACTCAAGCATGTGACCAAGTTTCTAAAAAAAAAAATTTGAAAATATAAAATTATAGTTCAAAATTCAGTAAACATAATCACATTTACTTTACAATCTATGCAGTAAAGTCAATTATATTTAAAGAGAATTACAACAAAAGAAAAGAACTGAAAAAATATATACAAAACTTTTGCACTAGGGGCCACCAGATCACTATTATTTATGTCAACAGCAATATACATAGATTAGTTTGAAAGAAAACCAAACATAAGGACCAAAGGCTGATGACCAAGACTACATGAATTACTATACAAAGCATCAACCAAAAGAAAGAGGCTCATCTACAAACAAAATTCCAAGACCAGAGAGGAGAAGCAGCCGTTACCTTCTGGTTTGGTTGGCAAAGAAGAAAACCCTATAATTTCAGTGTTGGCTATTGAATGATATGGAGATGGTCTTAGCTCCTATAATCATGAAATGGAATACTAGAAGACTTCATCCAAATTCCCGAGAGCGCAAAGATTTTTCCCTCTTACTATGGTATTGATGAGTTTGATCCTCCTTTGCATTTGATGAGGATGACACTGGAATTGTTACAAGTTAATTATTTGATCAGAAGAGTAAAATGTAAAAATAATAGCAAACTACTTAAGACCTCAAACCTGGCAAAGACATTTATGAATATCAAAATACTAATGGGTGTTGGATCAATTAAAAATAATTCCAATTGGAGAGAGAGAGTGAGCGAAAGTGAGCAACTTCAATATGAGCAGATTTTAGCTTATCATCGCACAATTCAACATATCAAAAACAGAATAATTTTGACAGCTTCAATTATGTCTTTATCCGTTTTTCACATTAGGCTGTAAAATTATTGCAATATTGAAAGCAAATAAGAGGTCAAACGGCTAAGAAAAATGAAAAAAGATGAAACACAAAAATATGCACATGGGAAGACAGAATGACATATACCAAAAAAATTCACAAAATAGGTTAGTCGCAGTAGAATCTAACTAGAGGGAAAGACATTATCTATGAAGACACGGGCATGGACACATCAACACGGAAAATACAAAAAAATTAGAACATGGAAACAAATAGATCACGCTACAGATAATTTTCTTATATAATAAATTATTGAGTTTATCTATCTATGACCATCTATATATATTATTAACTTAATTTACACAATAGAAAAAATCATTACTCAACTTGTATATAGTAATCTTACATTAATTTTTAGACTGATGGACCATAATAGTTAATAATCAGACATCGTGTAGCAAGCACACATAAGATTTCTCTCATCTTCCTAAATCACCTTCTTTATTAAAAAAAATTATGCATTTTTTGCACTCAATAATAAATGTTCAATGAAAAGTTTATATGATTAGTCATCAGACTCATGGGTCATAACAATTATACATTTTAATTCATGGTATAACATTAGTCGTATTCATAATCACATGTTAGCAAGCGTCCATAGAATGGAGACACGGCCTAAGAAGTGTTTGACATGTCACAAAACGAGTGCCGACACATATCTGAATTTGAGGCTTTTATTTTTTAAATATGGACACAGAAAGGGGGAAAAAGAAAGTGTCTGACATGAACAACTTTGTAGAAGTGTCAATTAGCACTTGGGTCCACTTATATGCAAACGTATAGAAATATTGGAACAAAAGAAAGTAGGATCCTGAGTACCAACTGTTGACTCGCAATCTAACTACATATTTAAGCCGACCCCGTTTGATGAGACTTAAGACTTGGTTTGGTTTGGTATGGTAATCCAACTACATATTTAAAATAGTGGCTTGTCATGGATAGCAGATGCTGAGGTGGTTGTAGGTAGAATCTAGAAAGCTTGCAGGCATTAAGATAGCACTATTGATTATTGTAGTTTATATTATTCATTAAGGATAGTTTAGTACTTTTGGTTGTTAGGGTTTTATTCTATTCGCTTATTAGCTTAGGGTTTTATTCTATTAGTTGATATATATTTGTTCTTAGTTTTGATTGATTGATTGCAATACAATGAATATACAAGTCTTCTTCTATGTTATCATGGTATCAGAGCAAGGTTCCAGATGCTAGCATACCTCTCGCAAGTCTTCATCGACCATCGCAGCCCCTTCCTCTCTCTTCGCAAGGCCTTCGTTGGGGTCTCTGTTCTCTCCGTCGCACTTTGAAGCATTATGTTGGTCCTTGTTGCTGGTTCTGGTTCGATCGAAGCTCTCTACAACCGAGTGCTCTGGTTCGGTTCATCAAAGTGATGTCTCTCCCTGTTTCGGTTCATCTGGTTCGTCTTCGTCTTCTGGTTTAGGTTTAGTTTCTCTCTCTCTCTTCCATGCCTTGGTTCTTTCTCGGATTGGTATTTGAGTGTGATTGGGTCACAACTCTGGTTGATATAAGTTTGACCTAACAGGCGCTTTAATCATAGCTATAGCAATTCTGGTTATCTATTAGTGAGTCTGCTTTGATTTTACTGTGTTGCTTAATTATAGCACTATGGCTGATGATAAATTGCAAGCTATTACCACTAAGTTAGATGGTACCAATTATTCTTATTCGTCTCGTGTAATGAAAAATTTTATAATGGGTAAAGGCATGTGAAACTATGTTATTGGTATGACTATTAGACCTGTGAAATCCCAAGAAACTAAGGCCGATGTTGCTAAATGGGATAAAGAAAATGCACAAATTCTTACTTGGTTTCATAATTCAGTTCAAACTACCATTGATATGAATTTTTCCAAGTATTCTACTTCTAAACAAGTTTGGGACTATTTGAAAACTATGTACCTTGAGTCTAACTTTGCAAAATAGTATGAACTTGAGATGTATATTCGCAGTGCTAGTCAGAAAGATAAGTCCATTCATGAGTTCTACAATGAGATGACTACTTATTGGGATCAGCTTGCTTTAATAGAACTATCAGATTTGCATTTACTTGACAGTTATACCAAGTATCGAGAGAAGCAATGTCTTGTTCAATTTCTTATGGCCCTTTGTGATCAATTTGAGCCACTTCGGGAAGCTATTCTTCATCCGTCTCCCTTGCCTTCTGTGGATGGTGCTGTCCGTATTGTGGAAGAAACTCGGTTTAAAGTGGCTCATGGGGCTCCTACTTCCCAGTCAATTTTTGCCACTCCTCCGCTCTTGCCCACCCCACATTCTTCTTTATTTCAGGTTACTAGTAAGCCCAAGCCTCGAGTTTCTATGGATGAGTGCAGCTTCTGTCATCAGAAAGGTCATTGGAAACATGCTTGTCCTAAACTTTTGTAGCCCAAGGGTTGTTCATCTGGTCCACCATCCTTTAAGCCGACATCTTCAGGATCTCACTTATCTGCCGCCTTTTTTGCATCAGTTTCTGAGAATGGTCCGCCTTCCAATGTGTAGTCTATGTTTGAGCAGTTCAAGTCTTTCATGGTGGCCAATCCAAAGCTTTCATCCTAGGCCTCTGCTATGACTACCACTTAGTTAGGTTTGTCTAGTTCATCATCTTCAGGTAATATCCACACTTTGTGGATTTTTGATTCTGGTTGTTCGCACTATATGACCCCTGTTGCATTTCTCCTCAGTAATTGTGTCTCCCCTTTTTCTTCTATCACTATTGCTACTGCTAATGGTTGTTCTATGCCTGTACACTCTATTGGTTTTATTTTCTCTTCCCATTTGTCTCTTTCTCCTATATTTTATGTGCCTCACCTCACTCAGTCTTATTTCTATCAGTCAATTATCTAATTCTGGTTTTGATTTTGTTTTCTCTTCTTCTCATTGTGTTGTGCAGGATCGGGTATCCAAGAGGCAGATTGGGATCGGGCGTAGAGTTGGAGAACTATATATCTTGGACAGCTTGCATGTTCCTCCAGAAGTGTCTTCTACTGCATTGTCTTCTTTTTGTTTAAACAATAAGCCTTTTTTATTTTATATTTGGCATTCTAGGTTAAGTCATTTGTCGAGTGATCGTTTGAGGATGTTAATTTAGTTTGGACATTTAGGCAATTTTCCCATTAATGATATTTCTGAGTATTGTGGTTGTAAACTGGCTAAAATGTCTGATTTTTCTTTTAATAAAAGTAGTTCTATTTCATCTTCTCATTTTCAATTGGTTTATACTGATGGTTAGGGTCCTTCCCCTATAGTTACTAAGGGTGGTTCGCAATATTATGTGTCTTTTGTGGATGATTGCAGTTGGAAGTCACGTCCGAAACCACTTCAACCCCTGCCGCTGCCATTCCGGTGAAAATGTCCAACTCTCACTCTGTCCAAATCACCACCATCCGCCTAAATGGTGATAATTTTCTCCGCTGGTCACAATCTGTCCGGATGTATATCCGTGGGCAAGGAAAGATCGGTTACATCACTGGTGACAAGAAGGCTCCTGCTGTTAATGATCCGCTATTCGACAGTTGGGACGCTGAAAACTCCATGGTTATGACATGGTTGGTCAATTCCATGGAGGAGGATATAAGCTCTAATTACATGTGCTATACTACTGCACAAGAATTGTGGGATAATGTTAGTCAGATGTATTCTGACCTAGGAAATCAATCTCAAGTTTTCGAATTAACTTTGAAGTTGGGAGAGATTCGTCAAGAACTTTGAATCTCTTGAGTCCACTGATCTTGATACTTCTATTGATCTTGATGTTCCTATTGCCAAGAGAAAGGGTGTACAATCTTGTACTCAACATCCTATCTCCAATTTTGTGTCCTACTCTCATTTGTCATCCTCATATAGAGTCAAATATTTCCTTTATTAGCATTCCTAGCCATTTTTAGGATGCTCTTGCTACCTCTAAGTGGAAACTTGCCATGATTGAGGAAATGAAAGCACTTAGGAAGAATGGCACTTGGGAATTGACTAAGTTACCTACGGGCAAACGACCTGTGAGATGTAAATAGGTGTATATTGTGAAACACAAAACGGATGGTTCTATTGAGCGTTACAAGGCTAGACTTGTGGCAAAAGGGTTCACTCAGACATATGGTGTTGACTATCAAGAGAACTTTGCACCTGTGGCTAAGATGAATTCAATCAGAGTACTTTTCCCTCTAGCAGCTAATCTAGATTGGCCACTTCATCAGTTTGATGTAAAGAATGCCTTTCTCCATGGTGACCTCGAAGAAGAGGTATATATGGACATTCTTCTTGGTTTTGAGGATCATCAGACAAAAGGCAAAGTATGCAGGCTTCGGTAGTCATTATATGGTCTCAAACAGTCTCCAAGAGATTGGTTTGAGAGATTCACTCAGGCTATGCTTAAATATGGCTTCAAACAGAGTCCGGCAGATCACACCTTGTTTGTGAAACATTCCTCACGTGGTAAGACTACAACACTTATTGTTTATGTAGATGACATAGTTCTTACATGCGATAATAGTGAGGAAATAATTCTGTTGTAGAAATATTTAGCCTATGAGTTTGAAATCAAAGACTTGGGAAGCTTGAAGTATTTTCTAGGAATTGAAGTTGCTCGACCCAAGTATGGGACATTTATTTTACAAAGAAAGTATGTGCTTGACCTATTGAAGGAAACTAGGATGCTTAGCTGTAAGGCCTATGACACTCCACTGGAACC